ACGGTAAGCGTCCGTTCAAATGTAGTGGAGTAAAGAGTACATATATTCAGTCACAAATGTAGTGGAGTAGAGAGTAAAAGTTGCTTATATTTTTGATACTCAGTACAAGTACAAAGTAGCCAAAAAAATACTTAAGTACAGTAACGAAGTCCATTTACTCAAGTACTTTACACCACTGTAAAAGATGAGGAAGATGACCAGTAACAAGATGAATGGACTCAACTGTCACAACTATATATATGCCTTTAGGAAGCCTGGAGAGCTGGACAGTTCTGGAAGAATGTCTTTTTATGGTCTCAAGGAGTCAGCATTACCTTGAAAATACCTCATAATAAGTTCCCCAGGCCACTCATTGATGTTACTGCCTGCTTGTGTTCCAGTGTCTTGTGTTTTGGCACCTTATTTTCCACTTCTCCCCGTTTTGAGCCCTCATGGTCCATTTGATTTGCCCCATAAATATTGCAGTTTCCTTTAATAAATCCCTTTTTGATTCTTCCTGACACCTGCCTTCGCCTCTGTCCTTGCCCTTCACATGACAATACTTGGTAAACATGTTATAACCTGGCTACAGTCATTTGAAATATGAAGTTATTCTGAATATATATATATATTCTATATATAGTTAGATCTTTAAAAATAATATTTTGAATTAAAGGCAAGGCTGCATTTTGTGACAAATTTCATGTAACAGTTTATAAAAGTACAACAAGCAAGTTGGATATATTTGTAATGTCATGTGTTTATTTTGAATGTTATATATAAATTTAGAGGTAAGAGCTTAAGTTTCACTATCTATTTCACTATAAATGCCTTTCATTTAAGAACCATGGGAAGCTTTCTGTTCAATGCTGGGATGCCATTGCTGCGACGCCAATGAGATTTCAATTTTTGGAACTGGATGTATAGTTTTCTTTTTTCTAAAATTTGATTTGGATAAAAACTACATTGCAGTAATTGGAAGGGGGACTAAAAGGATGTGATTATGCAAATTACCCAATTGTAATCTTCATGCCACACAAAAGAAACTGGATTAACATCAAGACATTGATTTGACTATTCCACATAGTTCTTCCAACATAAATAGCAAATATTAACTAAATAAGAAGGCTATAAAATAGTTGGTATGTAGAAGAGAAGCTAGAACTTTGGAGGAAAGTCTAGTGGGTGACAGATGTAAGAAGTTGAAAGAAAACACAAGGGCAGGGGCAAGAAAACATGCAGGACAGTAGTAGGGAGGGAAACGTAAACCTGATATACAAGGTGATGAATCTGTTTTTGAAGGGAAAATCGAACTGTGAAGTTTGTGAGTAGAAGCCGACAGTAACATTGATCAGAAGGGAAAGTTGCCTAAAAGATTAGTGAATAATTAGCAGGACAAAAGTAACTTGGCACAGACTTAGAACCTTTGACTATTATTTTTTAATTATTATTATTATTTTTTTTCCTCCTGTCGTGTCCGGCAGTTTAGCAAGCAGGATGTTAGTCTGGGTGCTTTATTGTGCCAACACTTTTATTTTAACAAGTGGAGCTTCGGAACCTTTGACTATTATTAACCCAGAGAGGCGCACACAAAAACAACACCAAAACCATCCATAAGAGAAATGCACACTATTCTACACTAGGGCTGGGTGATATGGACCAAAATTCATATCCCGGTATATTTTGGCTCAATCACGATATACTTTTTATATTCCAGTATTTTCTTTTACACAATGTTCAGTTTAATTCAAAGTCAAAGGTATGTAATATTATAAGAATGTGTATTATAACAGACTGTTAATAACTGAGACATGTTTTTTTTATTTCAAACAATTACTGAAGTAAATAATATCACTATTATATAAATAAAAGATAAAATAAATTGCCTTTAAAAACAGACTCTTGCTTAACAGAAGGCCATAGCAATAAAAACAATACATTTATATAATTAGGAATAAAATATGAAAAAAGATTAAAAAAAGACCTAGTAAGAAAAATATTCAGCTGCAAAAAAATCATGCAGATACAAACTGCACAAAATAAATGATCTCCTTTTTAAAAAGATAAATACAAAATAGGCATGTCTCTGAAACCTTTATGTATTCTTATAACAACTACATAAATAACAATAAAATATGCTCTTTTATGACAGGAGAACTGTTACATATAACTATGTTAAAAAAAACTTAAATTTCCTGTGGAAGTAGGTATAGTGTTCATAACCTCTCTCACAGGTTTTTTGCAAGAAAAACAAGCCTGTCAACAGCAACAGGCTTCAGGGATGCCCTGTGAAACATTACAATATGTAAGGCTCACGTGTCCGACTTGACCATATGTCTGTAGTTAGTCCGAAATGTATCACGTTAGCGAGCCGGTCAGTAAGTGTCTTCCGGACATCCATGTACATTATTGGTAGCACCTCCCTTGCAAAATACTTGTACGTGGGCAACTGGTACCTAGGGTCAAGCGTTTTTAGTTTCTTATAACAATCTTCTTCCGCTAATGCAATGGGGACCATATCTTTAGCAATTTGGTAAGCTACTACATTTGTTATTTCACAGCACTTTGCACTTCTTTTTTCATAAGCTACACCACGGGTAAATGCAGCCTGCAGTGAGTTTTGTGTCAAGGTAGAAGGCAGGGAGGACTTTGAGTCAGGCACTGGCTGCAAAGGTTTTGTGGCTGTGCCAGCGGCAGACCAAAGTTTAATACACTCTTCGTACTGGAGTTTGTGGCGCTGTTCTAAATGGTGATAGAGATTTGACGTGCTTCCAGATTTGGGTGTAACCTCTTTGTGGCATACTCTACAAATTATGTTTTTCTGCTGGTCATCTGCTCTATTAAATCCAAACCGCTTCCAAAATAAACCACTGTTTTTAATTTTACAAACCAGATCTTCATTCTCATTTGTGTCGCCCAGAGCCAGTAGTCCTTCCAACTTGCTGGCTTGAGATTAGAGCTGCGACTGCTCGCATGTACAGTGTGGGCGGGATGTAGGAGTGAGTGTGAGTGAGAGAAACAGATAGACCCTGATGATAGAAACTCTGCTCCTTGAGATCTAAATGCGAGGACGGTATAAACGGTATTATAAAATCCTATACTGCATGTAAAAATATATCGGTATAAATTAATACACCGATATACCTCCCAGCCCTATTCTACACTATACCACAAGACCACATTCCACTGCGAAAATGTTCCATTAAATTTTACGCTAAGGGCAAGAAAGGAAAAACACCAAAAATTTTATTGTTTACACCAAACTAGCCTAACCCCCTCCCACAATCTAAATTCAACAACAAAATTAACCCCAAGTGACTGATACAGCCCACTGACATTCACAGCACCGATGAAGAATGGAAAAAAATCAGGGTAGAAAAACAAAGACACTGAACCAGCAGTAGAAAGAGTTCTTCATAAAAATTCTTTCTTTTAATGTGTGTTTAGTGTGTTCTTACAAGAGCCAAGCAGTCCTCCCTCCCAACAGAAATCAACTACCACCTCACCATCTTCATTGCTGGCAATTATAACCTGTTCTAGGGGACACCCTCCCATGATAATAATCATTCAATCAGCAAGAAATGCACAGATTCATTAGCTACTTCAGACTTGTCGTATATTTCTGTACCCTCTAACATATTTTGATTGTCCAGTCAAACCAAACTGGCAGTTCCTGCACTTTCCCAAGCTACTCACAGGTGCTGCCACTAAATCCAAAATTAGTTATAACAGTGCAAAGCAATACTCTGAGCCTTGCTGCAATATGTAGGTTTAAGTTACTCTGTGAAATTCAAAAGAAGAGCCACATAGACCAAAAGGAAAGATAAAGTATTTTAATACCCCATAAATCATCAAAATTGTTGGCCTGTTTCAATTAATGAGTGTTTGACAGGGAGGACTGGTTAAGCATCTAATCTATGTTGTCATAAATCTAATAACAATAAATAACCTGAGCCCCCCCTTGTAACCTTAATGTGTTGGAGGGATTTACACATTTTAAAGAATCATAGAGCTATGTTGTTTGGAACCTGAGCTCTTGGTACTGCCTCCCTTAGCAAAAGGGGTGCGTGGGAATATGCCAGACAAACTACGATCCAATAAAGTGAAGAGTAACAAGTACCAGTGTACCCTGCCCAGAATACCCACCATTGGACCCAGGTTTGGGGGTGGAGTCTCAGCAAGATAGGATACTTTACCTGTGATTGGAAGGTTGCTGGGAAGTGATTTCACTGTTAGCCCCATATGTAAGGCCCTTAACCCCCAATTTTATCCTGGATGGAACAGTCTGACCCTGCTCTCTATATTGTATGTTTCTTTGGATAAAAGCATCTGCTAAATGCAACTGCTGCAATGTAATGTAATATCACCTGCAAGGGGTCATATGCAGTGCCATTTGAGCACTAGGCATTAGTGGCAGCAACCCAGATGGTTAAAACATTGGCAACTGACAGTCTTTGAGTAGGTGGAAAATAACATCTGGGTGGGGAAGGAGCCTGAGCTAATATCAGCTAGATAAAGTCAGGTACTGCCTATGGACTTTTTGGACCTTTTATGTATTGATCTCTGTGGAAAAAAATCTCTTTTTGCCTACCCCATCTTGCTATCCATGGCACAAACAGATACATATTTAGGTGAGAGAAAGCTCTATAGCAAAGGGCAGCCATCTGCAGCAGCGCCCAAGGAGCTGAGGATTAAAGGCCCTTGAACATGTGACCCAGAGATGAAGGATCATCTTTGTAGTTGTAATCTGATCTATGAGCCATATATTTTTTACCTATGTTTCTGCATCCTTTGCCCAAAACCAAAGGCATTATTAAAGTGCCACATGGCTTCTGGAAAGGGCCAATCTCCACTCATTCTCATCTCCACTCTATTTTTTCATCTTTATAGACAGGATATCAAGGCTCAGTTTCAGTAATACTAGCAGGATAATCTACTTCAGAATATCTTCCGATGGCCTGGGAAAAGCAAGCAGGAAAACATTATTACCATATAAATTTCTGCCTTAGGGTTCATGTTAGTGTGAGGCGCCTAATGCTCCATTTGGACATAATAACTGAAAAACTGAGTTGGAGTTGGGGTGGAAATACTGGACCAAGGAGGACAAAAATTGTTGAGCAGTTAAATCAGTTATTGCAAACCTTTTTAGCACTTAATGAAATTAATGAAAAATATGCTGCTATGTGGTGAGTCTACTTTGCATAGTAACTATGACAACAGGCTGTAGTGTAATGTTTTGTTGTTTCATTGTCTAAAGGGACAGATTTGTGTCTGTGTATCACCTGGACAGGTGCAAGCTAATCACTAATCACCATATTTGTTTCTGTAAGGTCTAGATCAGGGGTGCCCAAAGTGGGGCCCGCGGGCCAAGGTTGGCCCGCCGTACTATTTAGATTGGCCCGCCAATGAATATCTAAAATTTTAAATTATACTGTGCTAAAATTTGTTTCAAAAATTCTTAAAGCAAGAATCCCAATGTAGCTATCCGTGCGTTTACTTTTTAGTGTACGTTGGC